GACTTGTGTTTTATCGACTATCCGAAAGTATTCCCCTGTGTGGTTAATAAGAAAATATAATAACCTTGAGAATGGGAATTCCAGAACACCTCATTATGCTCATGCAGAATTTGTACAGAGATCAAGCGGCAGTTATGGGATCAGAACAAAGAAATATTGTGGTGTAAAATCAGGAGAGGTGTGCATCAGGGTTATATCCTCTAGCCATACTTGTTCAACCTGTATACTGAGAAAATCATCAGAGAAGCTGAATATGGCATCAGCTTTGGGAGAAGACTTATTAACCTGTGATATGCAGATGACACAACCTTGTGAGAAGGAATTGATGTGCTTGATGAAGATCAAGGATATCAGTCTTCGGTATGAATTATGGCTCAATGGAAAGAAAACCAAAATTGTCACAACTGACCCAATAGGTAACATCATGATAATGGAGAAGAGGTTGAGGTTGTCAAGGATTTTGTCTTGCTTGGATCCACGATCAATGCTTACGGAAGCAGCAGTCAGTATATCAAAAGATACAATGCATTGGGTAAATCTACTGCAGAAGGCCTCTTTAAAGTGTTGAAATGCAAAGATGTTACCTTGAGTACTACAATGCACTTGATCCAAGCCATGGTACTTTCAGTTGCGTCATATGAAAGTTGGACACTGAGTAGGAAATTCTGAAGAATTGCTGTGTTTGAATTGTGGTGCTGGCAAAGAATATTGAAAATACCATAGACTGCTAAAACGACAAACAGATATGACCTGAAAGAAGTACGGCCAGAATGCTTCTTAGAGGCAAGGATAATGCGATTTCATTTCACATACTTTGGACAGAACTACAAGTCAAGACATAAGTTAAAAAAAAATTAAGAATGCTTTGGATCTAACATCAGTTAGTCTCATGTTTGTCTTGTTAGGTACCATCAAGTTATTTCCATCTCAGAGTGACCTTATACAACAGAACAAAACACTGCCCGGTCTTGTACCATCCTCACAATTGTTCTTATGCCTGCACCCATTGTTGCAGCCCCTGTGTCAATCCAGCTGTTGAAGGCCTTCCTCCCTTTCACTGCCCCCTCTACCAAGTTGATGTCCTTCTCCAGGGACTGTTGTCTTCTGACAATATGTCCAAAGAACATGAATGAAGTCTGACCAACTTTACCTCTATGACGCAAGGAGCCCTGGTGGGTAGTGGTTATGCATTGGGCTGCTAACTGCAGTCAGCTGTTAGAAACCACCAGCCACCTTCATGGGAGAAAGGTGAGGCTTTCTTTCTACTCCTGCAAAGAGTTAGTCTTGGAAACCCAGTGGCAGTTGTACCCTATCCTATAGGGTCATTATGAGTGCACGATGACTTTATGGCAGTGAGTTTTTGCTACAACCATGCATGATGCCCTTTTCCTTTTCCAGGGACTGGTCTCTCCTGACTTGTCCAAAATATGTGAAACATTGTCTCCATCACCCTGGCTTCTAAGGAGCATTCTGGCTGTACTTCTTCCAAGGCAGATTTGTTTGTTCTTTTGGCAGTCCATGAAACTTGGAATATTCTTCACTAACACCATAATTCAAGTTCATCAATTGTTCTTTGGTCTTACATATTCAATGTCCAACTTTCACATGTTTGTCTTAGTATATAGTATACAGTGCTGTTTTCTGTACATAAAAATTGAAGAAACATTTCCAGATATAGTATCTTCAACATAATTTTACAGTTGTAATGCTTATAGTTCTAAGAATGGTGTGTGTGTGGGGGGGCACATCTGACCCCTGATTTCAAAGAGAGGGAAAATGAAAATCCTTATCAGTATTGGTTCTCAGCTCATTTCTCCAGCTTCCATCCTAGGCAGACCTCCACCCTCCATCTTCCTATTCTGACACCATCTTTCCCATGGCACTCTACTTTTCTCCTGGGTTCAATAATTCCTTGCAGCAGTCACAGAACACACAGACAAGGCAGGCTACACAATGGTAAGGATACAGTTATTTGGAGCACAGTGCCTCTTCTCAGGCATGCTGGCATCGCTCTCTAGCAGTCATGTGGTTCCTCAACCACTCACTCCATGGACTTGTAATCCTGCCTACTGCTCTGTCTCCAGGTCTGTCTGGCTTCTCAGTTCAAGTCATGGTTTCAGTCCTTTGGTCTCTGCCTCCCCCCACTCCAGACCAGGGATCTCCCCTCAGCAAGCTGGATGTTCAGAATTTAGAGACTTATGTATTTAAATGTGCTTGACTTAAAAAATTTTATGGTTCCTATCAGAAGAATGAGCTTATAATATGTTGTAGCATTGCAAAGCTTAGGGTTCTTGCACAGAAACAAAGAATTCATGTATAAATTACATGGCTCCAGACTCTTCTGGAGAAATTTCTAAAAATTACGTTCCATTTCTTTCATCATCTGTTTAAGGTTTCTATCTTTACTTGATTTAATTCTGCTAGCTATTTCCTGGGGAGAAAATACCCAAATTTATTTATTATATAATGGTATCTTCATATCTATTTAGCATCGCCATGTGTATGATTTTACTTTTTGCAATTTTTTTTCCTTATTGATTATATTTGCTTTAGAATTTACTGACAATAGAGGAGCAAGGGTAAAAACTCAAAAACTCACTGGCATCAAGCTGATTCTAACTATAGCACAGGGCAGAACTGCCTCTATGAGTTTCTGAGACTGTTACTGGACCATTTTGTCAATTTTGTTATCTTTTCCAACTCAGTTTTCTACATTCATATTTTTCTTCCTATTTTCCTTAAGTCTGTTTTGGGCTATTTCTTAAATGACAATTTTATTTTTTTACAAACACATTGGGGAGTTGACATAGTTGTGTGATGTTGTTAGCAGTAATTTTGTTTTTATAATAAATTAGCTCTGGTGGTGTGGTAGATTACTCATTGGGCTGCCAACCACAAGAGTAGCAGTTCAAACACACCAGCTAATCCTTAGAACGATTAAGTTGTTTGTTCCCAAAAGGATTACAGCCACCGAAACCCACAGAAGCAGTACTACTCTGTACTATTAGCATCAATATGAGTTGAATCGAATGAATAGCAGGGAGTTTGGTTTTCTTGTTTTAGTACCATTGGTTAAGTGTTGCTAACCAAAGCGCTATGATTCAAACCCACCAGTGGTTCCCCAGAAGAAAGAGACAGTTCAATTCCATAAAGATTTATAGCCTTGAAAACCCCATGGATCAGTTCTACTGTTTTTATAGGGTCGCTGTAAGTCAAAATCAACTTGAAAGCAGTGGATTTGTTTAGTTTCATTATAAACTCTTACTACTGTTGGGCCACAGAATATACTGCACTATTCTGGAGGAGGGAGCCCTGGTGAAATAATGGGCTATGTATGCACTCAGTTGCTAATCACAAGGTAAGCAGTTTGAACACACCAGTCTCTCTGTGGGAGAACAGTCAACCTGTCCACTGTGGAAAATATTTAAACCTTAGAAAGCCATCGGGGCATTTCTATTGTGTGCTATATGGTTCCTATGAGTCCGAATTGACTCCACGGGCGATGGAGAGCTCTCGGGGCAGATCTGGGCTCAAATGCCAAGCACTATACTTTTCAGCTGTTTGACCTTCAACGTATTGTTCACTCTCTGCGCTTCCTTTATCTACTAACAGAGTATATCATGGAACTATTTTTAATGAAAAAAAATTTAACATGGGAATGAAACAATAGAGGCATGCATTTTCAAAGGAATTACATATGAATAAACATGAGGGAAGGCTTGGGAAAAGAAATGACATTTCAACTGAAAATTGTTTTAATT